AAACGCCGTGAGTTTCGTCCCTATTGTCTTGACAAGGGCACTCTCCGTGCACAATTTCAAAGCAAGCCATCCAAAAAATATTGGCAAAATATTATCCTTCGACGCCAACATCAGCCTCAAAAAGCCATCTTATTCTGTTGCACTTGGGAAGCGTTCCAATGCCCGTTCCTCGAAGCAATCAGATATCGGTGCATTGAAAAGGATCACACCGCCTGCGTATATTTCCCGAACAACTTTCACAGGCTTGTGAGACGGATCCTCAGAATACCATGGCGACTCACCTCCCCGTGAAAAGTGCTCTTTCACAGTTACCTCGTTGATCGATTGCAATGCAAACCCACCGCTCCACAGCGTTCCGTAGACGCCTCATCATCAAAGACGTGACGTGGAATCGGTCCCAAAAGATACATGTGTTTTTCGACCTCTTCCAGCATTCCGCTTGTTTCTCTTTGGTCTCATCACGCGTTATCCAGGCGCACATCGCCTTCACATCCATCTCGTCGGGGCACTTCACGATGACTCGCGCGGCTTGTAGTTGCTTCGCCCACTCATCACAGTTGGTTACCTCCGGGAATGACACCGCAATCATGCCCCATCCAGAAGTAGGCGCAAAATGTCTCGGTGGCGGCGTTCCCTCCTTTGCCACATCGTGGATAATATACACATTCCTCCCATGCCCCGTCAGACTTCTCAACTCCAAGATGCACATGTCCTCATCGCCGTATCTTGTCACCGCTCTGGTGGTCTTGTCAGACACGTACGCATCTCCACCAAAACAGTGGACAACCACTTGGAGTTTCTCCACATCGCAGTGCAGCAGCTGGTAGAGGAGGTGCGAACCGGCAGCCACCGATTTCCCTATCCCGGGCGTCCCAATCAACACACGTCGCTTGGGCGTAAAGTCGGTACCACCGTGAGGGCTGAACCACGCGGTTAGATCGCCCCTGACGATATGCCACACTCGACCCACCCCACAGTTTACAAAAACGTCCTTAGGAAGATCCTGTATCGTATGCCACGAGTACGGCCATCCTTTCACCGAGGCGAGCACCATCAACACGGGAGGTGCCGCACCGGATTGCTGCACAGCGTCATTCTTTTCGATAGCGTCGTCAGCTTTCTTGTACGTCCATGACTGTTCTGGCTACCCCTCATGCACCCCCATTCCCATCCCCGTTTTCTTCGCTCCACGCCGTCCGGAAGTTCCACCGCATGGCTCCGCCTCGCATTGTGCACAGACTCGTAGCATCCCTCCAGTTTCTCCGGTGCGCTCGTTGTCGTTGGGTTCCTCGCCTCCTCGGCAGCCGCATCCAAGAAATGTTTGGTGGAGTTATGAACAGTTGCTTTTACCTCCGCAGCAGCTAATGACCACCCCGGTAGATTGTTGACACCGTTATCGCAAAGCTTGCGTCTATCCTCATCGAAGATCACTTCACCCTTTACAGCTCGCTTCATACTCAAATAATGACCTGATGCCTGTATTTCGTCCAATGCTCCTTTATCACGGATATACTTCGTGGGGTCCCTGAAAAACTCCTCCAGCAAGACATCCCGATTGGTGTCCACAATGCCCCTGCCGTCCAGTTCCCTCGTAAGAAAGTCGTTCAGCTTCATTTCATTGACGCGAACTCTTCCTTTAAACAGTACATCTTCGATATTAGTGGAAATGGTAAATTTCATTTCTTGCATTCGTCTTAGCCTTTTCTCTGCCTCCCGCCTCGCTTCCGTCAGTACCTGCGTGAGTACTCCGTTTGGTATTCCCCTTGCAAGAGGAGTGATCGTATCCTTTTTCTTCATAGTCCCTACGTTGCCCAAGAGAGAGCACACCTTCGTGAAGCGGCTTAGTAATGGCCTCCAGCGATTGGTACGCAGTTAAGTTAAGAATTTCTTCAAGAAGCCGCTGGTCTTGTACGTAATCATCCGGCTCCTGAACAAACACCTCCATCGTCACATTGTAGTCTTTCATCAACGGCCGCCCTGTCGCCAACATAATTCCAAAGGAAATCACTCAGCCTCACGTTGGTGCTGCTCATGGTCCACCGCAGCCACACTTCACTCCCCACCACATGTCGAGCCGCAGCGTCGGAACCATCACAAGAGCCACGGCGAGGTGCCATCACAACACCCGTGCGGTGAAGCGTCCCACTCGCACCGCCCAACTGCGGCCAGCAGGTGCCGCTGGCTCCAAAGGACACTCGCGGCTGTCTCGTCCCGCAGTCCCAATGGCGTTGGGCGTGGCGCTCGCACGGCGGGGTGGTCGGTGCGCCATGCAGCCGCACTGCAACGCCTGTCGGTGAAGCAGCCAAGGCCCACCGCCCCCGAAGCAACGCGAGGCGTGCAACCAACACCAACACCGCCACACTATCGTCCTTTTTCATTTTGTTTTATCCACGTTGTCTGTCGGTTTGCCCCATCACCGACACAAAAAATAAGTGCACACCTTCACAAAAGGGAAGGAACAAAGAGAAAAGGAGGCACGATCCCACCGTCCCGCCGAGGGTCAACACTCCCCTCCACCCACCACCATTGCCGCACAGGAGACCGCACTCACATCGCAGAGTCAGCACCACAATGTGCACCACACCATCGTGCACTGAACAATGGGCGAGACGCAGCCAGGCATCGCCCCGCTCCATTTTACCACCCATCATTTTTTGCGTGCCCGCAAAAAGTGGCAAACAGAATCAGAGTGCACACAAACCCAATCAACACCCTCACTCGCTGAAGCACATTATTCGCATGGAGTGACAACATCTGGGGACACACCAGCAATAGCTGGCTGCATGGAATTTCCCTGCCAACCCTGTGAGGACACAACAAGTCTGCGGAGTCAAAGTGGCAGCCCCTCGGTGTTGCCCGCAGTTCACATGGCAGGAAGAATTCCACGCACGCATATTTCCGGACACCTCGCTGTCTGAGTGCCCAACAGAACATGTGAAAAATACCTGCGCGCAAGATGGAATTAAATACGTGAAAAGGTCGGCCTGCTTTCTCCGATGGCGTTGGCAAGCAGTCCCACACAATCCAATCAGGGTGGCACGCCGGACAGAATGGCGTCCGTCAATCAATAAAAAATACGACACTGAAAAGGAGCAGAGAAGAGGTGGCGCATGCGATTGCCAGTGACAACTGTGAGCAAACCCGCCAGCACCAACTGAGGTGCCGAGGAGCACGTTTGTGTAGAACTGGCCGTCAGGCAGAGAGGACAAATAAAACAAAAGGGCAGCAAACCTCTCGTTCAATGTCTCCTGACCGCGACACCAGAATCAAAATACCATGGACGATAAGAGCGGCAACGCCTTCTCCAAAACATCTTGTCAAGAGGCCGCAGGACCTCAGGAAGAGAGGAAGGCAGCGGCGGCAGCCACAGCGGGGGAGGCAATAAAACGGCTGGCAGGCACCTTCACGTCGACGCACACACCACATCCGAGTGGGCTGGGAGCACTGATCGAACCGCTCGGAAACACACGCATCAAATCCGCAAAACAAAGTCGCGTTGAATCGACAGGAACCCCCCGCCCAAAACAAATTTAAAAAGCAGCGTTTTTCAAGGGGGATCCGCTTTTCCGACGACGGCACGAACGCCTCGCAGGAATTTCTTGCAAATCTCCCTTCGCAGGTCCGCAAGAAAACGCAGCGGAATAAAAAGAGAGCGCAACGACGCAAAAAAAAATAATCCTCCTAACCGACCAGGTGGCAGGCCGCCCTCGCGCAAGTGGAAAAAACACAACTTCACACCGTTCTTGTGGTGGTGGTCGTCTCGCAACTATTTTTTTTTCTTTTCCGCCGCAGTGCACATCTCCTCCCACAAATCATTTGTTCGGGCCATGCTCCTGCGGCCAAACATCGCGCTGCTGGATCCCGCGGCACAGTCCTCGGCACAGAAGTAAGGGGAGGAAGAGGGACCGCAGAAGGTGCGAGCAAATCCGAATTCGGTGGCGGTCGCTGCAGTGAAGATTGACGTCCCACGCGGTGTCCCCTTTCTAGGTCCGACCCTCACCGTGCCATGCTCTCAGCGTGCGGTGCGCCGGCCGCTCCGAACATCCACACGTGCTTGCGTCTCACCGTCGCTCCCAGCCCCGTTCGTTGGCTGCATCAGGGATGCCGCCATCCGGAGACGAGCATAAGGACGTTGCATCCAACAAAACCTTCAGAGGCACCCGCTGGGCCAACGACAACCGTCACTGCGGGATGTGCGTCCCTTCCGTCGCTCACCTCAAATCGCACTTCTACGCCTCCTCGAGCAGCAGCAGCAGCAGCAGCATAAATACACCACTCCACTAGGGGCCGTCACCAGCCATTGCAGGAAGACCACTGTGCCTCAGTGCCATGAAACCCGAATTGCATTGACGGGCCAATTCGGAAAACCCTGTCGCATCCTCCCCCAATTATGCGGAAACACATCCGTCGTGCATGTGTCCACCGCAGCCAAATGAATCCGGTCCGAATACCCTCCAAATCAAATTCCCCTTTCCTCAAGCCATTCCTTCATTCCATACGCCCTGACCCTCATCCGCACGTGCTCACTCACACAAACCGCCATAGACAGATGGTGGCCGCCCAACGCTCCGGAAAAACATGCCCAGCACGCACGCGCACAATAAATGACATGCGCAAACGCACGGCACAACGGCGGAGAAGCGCACACCGAAGGGATGCGGCCCTCCACAGCAGTCGCAGCCCACTGCGCGCATCACACCCGCAGGAAGAGTGACTCGCGGTGCGCGCTCCCTCTCTCCTCCTTCCCTTCATGCCCACGGAGGAAGCAGCAGCCACCCGCAACCGCCAGCACAAGGTACAAAAGAAGCATCCAAATACACTGCAATGT